GAAACGTTAACTCTGTTTTCTCCTCCATAGATGCTGCCAGACCTGCTGAGCTTTTCCAGCAACTTTGTTTTTGAAATTCTTATCTTTGTTATTCTTATCTTTGTTGAACTTACTTTTTAGGTCTGGCAGTGTTTAATTGACCAGGTTTGGATTAGTTAAACTGAAATCAAAGCCAGTTTTTTAATCCATAATTTAAACTCTGAAAACAGGCAGCAATTTTGGTCTCCATTTTGTAAATCTTGTCCAAGAAGAATTTTCATATATACAACACTTTATTGCATTAAGATGTTTCAGTGATAGTCATTGTGTTGCTACATCCACAATAAAAAGTTCCCTTTTTGAAACTCAGTGCACAAAGAATTAAACTTTCTGTGCTGTAGGATTGTATTTTGAGCTATGTTTTGAGTTATGATCATTTTTGTCTTTCTCTGTGATGAGATTTTCCAACAAGTAAAACTGACCTCAGCTCTGCAAAGGACATATTCATTTTGAAACTTGATTGTGAATTAGTCACTGCATAATTGCTTCTTTCTCTTTATCATCGAGTGCATATTGATACAAATCAACAAACTTTTCAAAACAGTGGCTGAAAGCAATAATTTGATATGGTTTTTAGGTGTTTGGATGTGTTATGATGATACACTGTTGGAAGCTTACTGTTTTCTCTTATGTATGTTAGCACTTTTAAAAAAAAACCTTCTCTATGAATCATTGCGTATGATTACACAGCAAATTCATTGCATGCTGCATTGTTATTAAAGTCCTAGGATAGTGAGAGAGTGCCAAGCTAATTACATTTACCTACTGTGACTTCAGTTACTCACATACAATTGTTTCAACAGGAATTTAACAACGCTAACTGTAACATGCATTTATATGGCACCTTTTAATGTAGTAAAACCTCCCAAGGTATTTTACAGGTGTGACTAATTTTTTGCCATGTGAAGATCTATTAGGAAGCTTGGTCAAGGGCATACGTTTTGGTAGGCTCTTGGAAGGCCAAGAAAGAATAAAGAGATTGAGGGTTCTGGTCTAAATTCCAGAAATTAGGGCCCAGTCAACTAAAAGCATGGCTGCCAATGGCAGATTATTTGAAATTGGTGATTCATAGGAGGTCAGAATTGGAGCAACATAGATGTTGAGGGTTGTGAGGCTGGAGGAGATTATAGAAATGCGATTAATGAGGCTGTGGAGGGATTGAAAACGGATGAGGATTTTAAATTTGAAGCCAAGATTATCCAATAATAATAAATAACTTTGTAATTACTCAAAGCTAAAAGGATATGGATTAAATCTTCAGGTGGCTGGACACTAAGCTTTAGAAATCCTTTCTGAAACCCTTTCACCTCACTATCTCTCGAATATGGTCATGGGAAAGGGTTTAGAATTATTGTAGAATGCAAAATATGCATTGCAAGTGCAGTTATTAACTTAAAGGTTCTTCAGCCTCAACTGTATGTTTAGTTAAATTCCCTCCCTTCAACTGCTTCTTTCAGTCGGATATATCGACTTAAAATTCCTGACAAAGTGTAATCTTTATTATTCAATATATGATGCATGTATAATTTTACATTGAAGTGGAAATTACAATCTGGCAAAAGTCATTTTTCATGTGAAATTATCAAAGCACTTCTGAGTTGAGCGTGATCTGATAAGTAGCAACTTCTAACATTACAATGCTGTTCCACTGGAATCCCCACTGTGCCTCCACCGTTGGGAGAGACAGAACATTAGAAGTCGGTAGCCTTAATAGCCACAGAAAGGATAAGCTCGTTGTGTAACTTTTTCAAATAGATTTTAAATTATTGATATTAAAGGTGGTGAATAACTTCAGCTATGTTAGTTGAAAGTTTGGAGTTGTAATGATGTTAGAACTGTTAACATTTTCCATTATTACTCAGTGAAAATGATGGCAACTTGTGGTATCAATATATATTCCATTAAATTTTGAAGCTACTTTGTGATTTCATCGCTCTTCCAAGCATTTGCTATTCAAGTCTAGTTGGTAATTAATTAGAAATCACTGCATTGATATACATTTGCACCTTTACAGCTGAACTAATAGTGTTTATAAAAAAACTTTAAGAAGGTACACATTGAATGAGGTGGATTTGGGTAACTTCATAATTACTCTTAAAGAACTTCTTGGTCCTAAAATAACCAAATTTTCTTAGTTGCGGATTGTCAAATTTCTCAACTTTATGATTTTTATAGATTTGAGAATTTGAATATTGCTAATTGTGAAGAAATACCAATATTATAGAAAAATAACATTTATTCTGTGTGAGAGTGCTGACTTGTTGACAAGTGGATTCTGATTGGTAGAAGTGTTGCTGTGGACAATGCACAAGATAAATGATGACAACAGTTAACTGCAAAGCTTTGTTTAAATTATGAACAAGGCAGGTTTAATACATACAGTCCATTTTTTACAGACAGAAGTAACATACACACATTGCATCTGTTTCAATTCAACTATATAGGTGATGGTAATTCTTTGGTTTATTCCGTAGGGAAATCCCTTGATCAGTCAGAAAGTAGACTTGCCTGGTTTAAAACTTAAATAAAACCTGGCAGTTAACTGTCAGTCATCATCTTTCTGGTGCATTCTCCATGGCAATGTTTATAACAGTCATTTATTAACGAATCAGCACTATCATACAGTATAAATATAATTTTCCCTTTACATTGGTATTTCTTGTGAACTGACTTAATGAGTGTAAAATGAAGAGTTTTGATGAAACATCTTTTTTAAACCCTCAAGTTTGTGCTACCTAATGATTTTTTAAATGATTAAAACAAAATTATTTTTAATGCTTGACATTTCAGCAACTACCTTTTAATGTAATGTGTATGTCCCAGTCTCTCTTTCACTTTCTGCTTCAAAAAAACTTTTAAGACATGAATGATAGAACCTGCTTGTTACTTCATGGTGTCCAAGAATAGCTGTTTACCTTGCTTGAAAACATCTCTGCTGCGTACCAGGTGTCCCCTATAGTTAGCACCACATCCACACAAGTGCTGGGAAAGTTGAAATTAAGCCTACAGAGATTACTAAATCACTGGACAGTTTTCTTTGAGAGCAGCAATAAGTGCTGTTATGTCACCGCTGACTGCAAAATTCAGGTCAACCCATTCTTGGATTTGGATTAAAGTTCTCAATAGTTCCCACTGATTGTGATGCCAACTCTGCAAACTCCATTAAGTTAAATAAAAGGGAAAGTCATAGCGTATGTGTTTGCACCTGCAGAAAGATACAACCCTATTTTTAATGGATGTAAACCATTGTCAGAATTGAAGTCATTCGACTGTCTTCCCTTTTTTTAGATGTTGACACCCATTTACAATATTTTGCTTTCAGATTTTGAAGTATTGCAGTTATCTGCTTTTTAACAGCAGTTAAATCACAGTTTTGCAGCTGTCTTTTCCTTATACATTTAATATATTTAGTTTAGGATTTTTGAAACAAAAATCATGTCTGTCCTTTGTTTTGGCCAGTTTTACAGTCAGTTACCCATTCCACTTGTATGTTTGACAAGCATTTAGCTAGCTAGTGAACTGCCTGATTATCAAACTTTTTTTCCCTCTAAGATTGTCACCACTAAAACCTCAACAATGTTAACGGATATGCAAGGAAGCTATAATATTTTGCTGCTTTTTCAGTATTAAATACAATAAATTTACAAACATTATTTTAAAAATCAAGTATCATCCGTAAATTATTAGCTCATGCCAGAAGAAAATATGGACCTTTTCATATTCTACACATTAACAGTGTAGAAACCACGTTTATTTTGAATATCCAAGTTAGAATGAGGAGTAGCCCACTTGGCACCTTGAGCATGCTCTGCTACTCAATAAGATCACGACAGATCCGATTACCTCCAATAATTTTTCATCCCCTTGTTCAGGAAGAATCTATTTACCTCTGTCTTAAAATATTTAAGGATTCTGCTTCCAACACCTTTTGAGGAAGAGCATTCCAAAGACTGTTGACCTGCTGTGAGAAAAAAAAGTCTCATCTTTATTTTACATAGGTAAGTTGTTATTTTTAAACAGTGGCCCCAGTTCTAAAATCTTCCACAGCAGGAGACATTGTTTCCACTTGCATCCTGTCAAGACCCCGTTGGATCTTGTATGTTTCACTAAAGTTGCCTCTTATTCGTCAAAACTTCAGATATGAACCAACCCTGCTGAACTTTTCCTTACAAGTATTAGTCTAATAAATCTTATCTGAACTGCTTCCAATGCATTTACATTTTTCCTTTAATTAGGGATCAGTACTCTACACATTAGTTTGAACAGAGTTTCACCAATGTCTACTGAGCTGAAGGAGAACCTCCTACTTATGTATTCACTTCCCCTTTGGATAAATGATTATATGCTATTAACTTCCCTAATTACAAATGTTTAGTATACAGGTACAGCCAGTCATGCAGTAGATCCTCCAGATCCCTGTGCACTTTAGAGCTCTGCAATCTCTTATCATTTGAATAATATGCTTTTCTATTCTTCCTGCGAAAATGAATAGTTTCATCCATTTTTTTCAATTTGCCAGATATTTGCCCACTATCTCAAGCTATCTATATCCCCTTTGTAGCCTGTTTATGCTTTCTTCACAACTTACCTATGCTTGTATCATCAATTTAGAAACTGTGCCTTTGGCCCCTTCATCCCAGGGACAGGTTGGGCAGGCTGTGCAGTCATATGAGTTGTAAAGCATTGAGGCACCAGCACAGGGTAAGACTTGTTATATGATGCCAACCAAAAAATAACCCATTTATGCTTACACTGTTTCCTGTTAGTTAGCAAATCCTGTAACTTATTTTCTACAGATGTGACTTCTTATCTAATGAAGCATTCTAATATGTTTTGTGAAATAAACACACAAATCTTCACAAAAACAACAGAGACATGTTGCCAAAGCGTTGTTTCTTGCACTTATTCTGTCAAATGCAAGAATGTCAAATTTCAAATGATTGTGACAATTTATACTGTAGGATAAAGGGTGCTGATTGGTTGGTAGTAATCATCTTCTGAGAAACTGATACTTCTGTTGCATCAATAATAACATACAATTTGCTTATTAAGCTACATTTGGAGCCTGTCTTGATGCGTGGCTTTGTGCGAGTGGTGCAGATGTGGATTTTCCCCTTTTTTACTCTTATGGCTTCAGCTGTGACATTATGCATTAGTACTTTGCATTTTGGACCAGATTTTGGGCTGCCTGGAGAACACTTGAAGACCACACTGATTCCACTGGTGAGCTCAGTGATTTTCTGCAATTAAAGCAGTAACCACTAGGTGGCAGCTGGTCATTGCTCTTCTGCATGAACATATTTTCTTTTCCTGAAATGACCAACTTGATTTACAGTTTGTAAATACTTTTTAGTTAACTGATCAGGAATCCTGATCATAACTTGTCATCCTAGTTATGTTGCAATAATAGATAAATAATAGTTCAAAGTTTATTCTATCCTAATGCAAATTAAATTGAATGCAGTGTAGAATTATTTTTGTTTGGTATAGGATACATTATCAATACTGCGCTAATTATGCTAATCTAATCTGTTTATGTATTTTATATTAATAATCATTAATAATGAATAATAAAATGGCTAAGTATAAGGTGACTAGGAGCTCAATCCTTATTAGTCACTCCCAATACAAATGCCTCATTGCTGTTAAACTAGTCTTCAAAGATGAAGAAGATTGTACATTACCAATCTCACTCTTAGGCACCCGAATATCGTGGAGTTGTCTTAAGGCTTACTGAGTGTGCGTGGAGTGCAACTAATAACAACCAATGTCATTGTATTCTGTGTGTTTTTTTTTTCACTCCACAAAAAGTGACATTTAATTCATTTTTGATAAATATATAGAAGGAACTGGTAGGCATGGTAGATTACAGAGAATTTACAACATAGAAACTGGCTATTTGACCAGTGTTAATGTTCCACATGAGTCATGGAGTATTTATGAAACAAGAGGGGGCCATTAAGTCCATCAAGTCCATGCCAACTCCATGGAGCAATCCCATTTGCCCATTCATGTACCTCTGTAAATTTATTTCTCCAAAAGTAACCAATCAATTACCTTTTGAAATCAGTTAGTTTCCAACATTTTTTGTAGGCAGACAGTTTCAAGTAATTGCCATTCTCTGCATTTTAAAATGAAAAGTTCTTCCTCCTTCCTCACTGCACCACTGCCCCTCCACATACACTAACCCAGAAACAGACACGGCTCTTGCCCAGAATTTTATATCTCTGCCCTGTAGTACTTGTGCCTTCAAATAAAAGCATCTCTTCTCTAACCTCTTCCTACTCCTTTTTATCTCTCCCTTCATATTGCTTTATCTCATAGGTTCTGCTTAGATGCCACACTTTTATCTCTCCGTTTACAGTTCAGTATTTTCTCCATTTTGATGACTGCAAGGGACCAGTGTAAATGAACTTGGGCAGGCTCAATTTTGGATTCTTTTTATCATTTAAAAAAAAATCACCAAGCCTCCTTCAACCCTCCAGAAGCTCTGCACTCCTCCCATTTAGGCATTTCCTGTTTTTTTTTTGACACCTGCTCATGGAATGCCTCATGTGGCTCGATGTCAAATTTTGTGATTGGTAATGTTTCTGTGAAGCCAGATAGTTTATATTACAGTAGTAGTACACCGTAAATACAAATTGTTGTTGTTGAGCCTGTAGCAAAAAACTGCTTCCCGTAGGGAACTAACTGGCAATCTCTTTGGACTGCAATGTTGAACCAAGAGGGGACCAAGAGAGGCAATGTCTTCCCTCTCAGGTGATGTGAAAGGTCCCACAGCTGCTGTTTTGAATAAGTACAGGAGAATTTTTCAAGGTTTTCTATGACTGGTATTTCTCCTTCAACAAGATTGAAAAGATAATTTGGTTATTATCACATTGCTGATTGTGAGAGCTTGCTGTGTAGGAATTGGCTGCTGCCTTTCTAACTACACCCCAAAGGAACCTCAATGGCTGGAACAGGTTTTGGGACATCTGGAGGTTGTGAGAAATGGCATATAAATGCAAATCTGTATGGATGGAGCTGAGCTTCAGCATGGAGGAAAGCTACATGTGTAACCTTTCAGTTGACGAGACATGAGACTCAGGAGTAAGGCAACTATGTCTAAACTGCGGAAACATTATTAATCAGGTAGGGTTCAAATAATCTGATTCTACAGTTTGTCCAAAGAAAAAACATTCTGAGCAAGTTCTTGAAGTTGCAGTGTTTTAGAGATAATCGAATCGTCAGCTGAAACAATAGTAACATTGGCGTGAATACTGTACATTTGGCTTTCACTTTAATGCTGTGAAATTATTTAATGACCAAAAAAGCTTGCATTTACGAAGTATCTTTCATGATTACCGGATATTTCAAAGGGCTTCACAACCAATTTAGTACTAAGATGTAATACTGTATGGGAAAGTATGAAGTTATATGCTTTGGTAGGAAGAATAGAGGCATGGACTATTTTTTAATTAACGAAGGGCTTTGGAAATCTGAGGCACAAAGAGACTTAGGAGTCCTAATTCTCTTAAGGTTAGCATGCAGGTTCAGTTGGCAGTTAGGAAGGCAAATGCAACGATAGCATTAATTTCAAGAGGTCTAGAATATCAGAGCAGGGATGTACTGCTGAAACTCTATATGGCTCTAATGAGACTGCATTCGGAATATTGTGAGCAGTTTGGGCCCTGTATCCAATGGAAGGATGCGCTGGCATTAGAGGGAGTCCTGAGGATGTTTACAAGAATGATCCTGGGGATGATGAGATTATATGAGGAATGGTTGAGGACTCTGGGTCTGTACTCAATGGAGTGTAGAAGGATTGGGCAAGGGTGGGGGGCATCTGATTGAAACTTACAGAAATCTGAGATGCCTGGATAGAGTGGAAGTAGAGAAGATATTTCCACTAGTAGGAGACTAGAACCCACGTGCACAGCCTCAGAGTGAAGGGACGACCCTTTAGAATTGAGATGAGGAGGAATTTCTTCAGCCAGCGGGTGGTTAATCCATGGAGCCCATCGCTGCGGAGGGATGTGGAGCCCAAGTCATTGAGTATATTTAAGACAGAGCTAGATAGGTTCTTGATTGGTAAGGGGATCAAAGGTTAGAGGAGAAGGCAGGAGAATGGGGTTGAGAAACGTATCAGCCATGATTGAATGGTGGAGCAGACTGTTACTATATTTCATGATCTTATTTGATAAGTTGTCACTATTCTGATATAGCAGGTAGTTTGCACAGAGCGGACTCCAATGAACAGCATTCGATAATGACCAGATCATCAGGTTTGTTGTTGATTAAGGAAATAAAAATTGACCTAGACAGCAGGGAAGACTGTATCGAGTAGTACCATAAATACTGTTGCATCCACCTAAGAGGTGGATGGCAATGTGATTTAATGTCCCGTCTGAAAAACAGTACCTTCAACAGTGTGACGTTCCTTTGGTACAGCACTGAAGTTGATACAACCTACATTTTGGGCTGAAGTCTTTGGAATGGGTCTTGAACCCATAAACCTTTGACTCTGAGACAAGAGCGTTACTCACTAAGTCATGGCTGACACTTTAGTTACCAATATCTTTTAAATATCAAAAACCCGGTGTTGGATTGAACCATTTTTTTCTTAAAATTGAAACCTTAGAACCAGTGTTATAAACGATTGTATCTACTTTTGTTGGTCTTTTGTAATATCTGTAAATAGGCTCCCTGTCAGTGTGAATTCCTCCGTGAAGGTTGGAAGTAAAACTTGCTTTTAAAAGCAACAATTTGTCAACCAGGCCGGTGAAATTCTACAATTTTGACCCCTTTTCTCCATTTTACCATCATCTCAGCTAATAGCTTTGTGGGAATCCTTCACAAAGGACCAAATGAGTTACTGTTGTTGGTTTTGTGGTTGTGGAAGGGTAAAATAACATGTCACAATTACAGTGGACCTTCGGGTGCCAGAACACCAGCAAACAATCAGAATGTATATAATAGGTGCTGGCAAGTTATATGAGCAAGGAAACACTTGGAAATCTCTTGTTTTCTCATGAGGTACTGGGTTTGTACGATTACCACTTAAGTCTTTGTAATCTGTTCTGGCCCCATCATCCATACAGGGAGATATCTGTCACTAGTAAGTGCAGATGTCTTAAACAGATTGTAAACGTGATTGTAGACGTGAAAAAAATTTTGTTTCGTTGGCTGAGGTTTTGCAGCAGCACTCATTTTCTGCATTCTGCATGTAGACCAAAACAAAGCTTTAATAGTGCGCAATAAAAATGTTGTCTGATCTCAATACCAGGGGTCACCTATTCAAGGCAGAGATGAACTAATATTTCTTCACACAGAGACAGTTATGGATCTTTGGAATTCTGCACCTGAGAGGGCAGTGGATTTAATTGAATGGTGGTACAGGCCTGAAAGGCTGAATGGCTTCTTTTTGCTCTTGTATCTTACTTCCTTACATATATAAAAACAGATGAAGTATAATTTTTACAGTGCATATTTACTAGCCATTTCTATTAAACAGAGATATCTTCATTAGATTTTAAGTGATTTGTTGTGTTGGTAAGGTGCAATCTTTGCTACATAAAGCAGTTTGCAAATTGATTCTAGATTGCTTCCATTGACTGAAGAGCTTTCAAGCTGAATGGAGCATCTTTCTGCTGCACATTCCATGTGTATACACCAGGGGCCACCAGAACATGGACTTGGGTTTTTCCTTTTTAAAAGTATTTTGTTCCTTCGACCTCTTTTTCTGACTAGTCTCCTTTTGATCATGTTCCAAAGGGGCGTTGTGGTGGTCGTGGTGGGAGGAATTGATTATTAAAGTGGAAAATATTCATTTTAAAACGAGCAGCAAAAAACGAAACATTATGAAGGGAGGGAAAGAATTGGAAATTCTTAGGGAGTAAAGACATAAGTCATGAGGGATAAAGTAGAAAAATTACAGCTAAGTAACGAAGGAAAGCAAAACAAAGAGAAATTAAATAAGGTCACAGTAGAAAGACAACAAAAGGTGGTGAAAGAGTGAAAAGGCAATCTGCAATTGTAGAAATTGTAAAATAATTTTAAGTGGTCAAGTGGTTTAAATAATCATGTCTTACCATGAGATGTTTAGGCATTTTTGCTGCCTTGATTTTATATGCCTTCAGTCATTTTCAGGAGGTGAATTGGCTTGCCCATAATAATTGCTTTGATATGGAGGTATCTAATTAAGTAATTTAATTGTTTTCTTGCCTTTATGATGGTTAGATCTTAAGTCACAAATTTCAAGATAATTGCAGCTGATATAAAAGACATGAAGCATTTATCTTTTAGTGATAATTAATTTTGTGTATTCACAATTTTGTTGTTCACTTACTTCTTGATAGTCCACTGAGCAGCAATTTATTGTTCCGTCTGATGTAGCACTTTTTTGTTGTCTTTATCGACACTGTAATTGCCCTGTGACATATCACAAATGGCTAATTGTAAAGTTAATAGCAGCAAAATGTCCTCACCACTGTATATCTTTACAGAAGAATATTTAATTCTGCCATTGACTGTACACTACCATAGTCACTTTGTTAATGAGGTTTGTGGATATTCAGTCAAAAAGTTCAGAACTTCAATTTGTATTGAAATTCAAATTTCTTTACTTTTTTATGGGAGAATTGTCCTTTAAAGAACATTGACAATGTAGTATAATGAATGATGCTTACCAGTGAGAGTTCAAAGTGCAAATGTAGTTTAAGAAGATGGATTCTTGAATCTTGTGTAGAGATAACAAGGTGTAGAGCTGGATGAACACAGCAGGCCAAGCAGCATCAGAGGAGCAGGAAGGCTGACGTTTCGGGCCTAGACCCTTCTTCAGAAAAATTTTTCTGCTGTGTTCATCCAGCTCTACACCTTGTTATCTCAGATTCTCCAGCATCTGCAGTTCCTACTATCTCTGAAACATTCTTGAATCTTGTGTTTGGTATGTGATCAGCAGATGCAAAACACACAGAGTTGTGTAAGATTCTGATTAGAAAGAGATGGGGAGTTGGGGAACACCATTTTAAGGTGGAACCAAGGATTTTTTTGCTTGTTTCGATAGATTTGAGAATCTGTAACTTGAGTTTAAGAAGTTAGTCTTCAGTTTCTGAATATACCACAGGCCTTTCTGAAGACCAGTCCCGATTCGAAACGTCAACTTTCCTGCTCCTGTAATGCTGCCTGGCCTGCTGTGTTCCTCCAGCTCCATACTGTGTTGTACCACAGGTCTGTTTGTTTCTTTTGCAAGTAACCTTCTAACTGACCCTTTTTCAAGAAGCAAATTTTAAAGTATGACTTTTTCAACTCTGCAATGTTTTCTTTTGAAGTTGAGGAGTGGGGGTAGTGTTTTGTGTGTGATTGTAGACAATTGCAATGTATTCGGGAAGTGTGTAAAGTTCTCTGTTAACTTAGTTGCATGGCTCAGAGAATGACCCAGGATTTGAGTAGCTGAGGACTTTGATCTTTGAGGAGAAAGTGAAGAAAGCATCGCTAATAAGCTAGTTTGCCTTTCCTACATTGGTAAGATTCATTAGTTTTACATTGGCTATTTAATAAAATCTATACCTTTTCCCTACTAAAAGCCTACTTTATATCTCTCAGCCATGATGTGGTGATTATTATGGAGGACTTTGGAGGCATTTGTCTGCACTATCCCTTCTTATTGACAATCTGTATATTTAATTATTTACTGGTATTTGGCCTTCTGAATAAACAACCCCTAGTTAAAATTTTGTTTAAAGTGGATCTTTCTTGAGTCCTGAGGCATTTTGTCAAGAGTTAACTATGTTCTCTTTGGGAAGAGACAGTAAGAAATGGACCAGATGTATTAGTGATTATATTCATGAAATTGGACTATCCCATCTCTTTTTAGCATTGATGTGTAAGGACCTTGTGCTATATATGAGGTTTTATCAGAAACCACATAACCAAGCTGGAAATCTACGTGGGAAGAGACGTCCTCAATATTCAGTGAGTTCAGAATTTCGAGAAGTCTGTCTAGGCTCCATGGGCAATATTCTCACTTCAGAGTCAGAAGGTTGCCAGTTCAAGTCTCCCTCCAGAGATTTTGGCACAAAATAAAGACCGTCACTTCTAGTGCACCACCGAGGAAGTGCTGCACTGTTGGAGGTGCTGTGTTTTGAGAGGGAGCATTGGCATAATGATTATGTCATTGAAATAGTAATCCAAAGGCCCAGGCAAATACTCTGGGGACAGAGATGCACCACAGTTGATGGAAGTTAAATGCAGTAAATAAATCTGGAAAAATAATCTAGTCTCAGTAATGGCAACCATGTCAAACATCTTCAATTGATATAAAAACCCATATGGTTCATTAATGTCCTTTTAGGGATTGAAATCTCCCATCCCCTACCAGCTCTGGCCTGTCTGTGATTCCAAATGTACAGTATTGTATTTGACTCTTAGCTGCCTTTTGAAGTGACCTAAGTAGCCACTCCATTCAAGGACTATTAGGATAGGTACCAAATTATATCCATGCATTCAATGATAACAAAGCCAGTGCAGATCAGCATAGTTCTGAATCTGATCCATTCCCTCTGGGGAGTTCACTGATTTCAACAGAAATGGTGATTGGGGTGACAGAATTGCCACAGCAACCCCATCAGAAAGGGAAAGAATTGGTGAGAAAGAGAGCTAGCTCCTGAACGGTCCTTAACTGCTTTAACCGATTTTCTTTTGACATGTCTTTGAGAGTGACTATTTCATCTCTGTGCTGGGGAGGGAGGTGTGTGTAGTATAACTTTAGCTGAGCCTGTCCTGATCTGATTTCAACAGGGATCCATTAGTTGCAACAATTAATGGTTTGTTGGTTATCTTATTTGATTGTGGACTGGGATCAAATATAAAGCGAGTCAGCTGGGTTATTTGGGTAATAGGCAGCAGAGGTCTGGAAGGCTGTGTTCTGTGAATAAACCCACCATTACGAAAATGATTTGTTGTTTTGTGCTTCACATTCTGGCTAGGATCTATTTTAACAGCAAGGATCCTTGAACAGTGATTGAGAGCAGAAACTTTGGTTGATTCCTCCCCTAATGGCCTCTAATTTCGGACTGTCGGGTTTAGCTCTACAGCTTTAACTATCACTAGGACGGGAATCAACTAACGGAGGTTGAATCTAAAATCTTGTTCTATTTGCTTTGCCTATTTGGTTATATAAAATGAGTAAGAGTTCAAATACAGTCTTAAAGACCAATTTTATTTTGAATTTAATTCAGTTGTAAAACACAAGCTTGGCAAAAGGAAAATAATTTTGCAATTCAATAAAAGTAACATCAAATTCTAAATTCAGTAAAGAAATGTCTTTTGAAAGTTTCAGTTTATTAGTAATCTCAAATTTTAGTGTGATTGCATATTTGCATGTTTGCAATGCCTCTTTTTTACCTTATTAATTTAATAGTTAACTGTTTGCATAAGTTCAGTTCTGAACAGCCCTACTCAAAAAATGATAATGTCTCTCTTTGAAATTAGAACATAAGTTCTTAGTTTTCTTGATAAACATTGTAGTTGGTACCTTTGGCTGAATTAAATGCTTTTCTTGTTGTATTACATTATGTCCTTTGGTTTAGCTAGAGGAGGGATAATCACGCATGAAACAATCTGTCATATTAAGTCCGGATATTTGAGAACATTTACATATATTTCACAAGTGCTTGAAACAAAACCAAAAGCAGCATTGCTCGTGGAGCAACTGCTCGAGTAGTTTAAAGTCTTCAAATTCTATGTGACTCAATCACTTTATTGAAATGTTTAAAATCTAAAGAAAAGCAGTGTTTTTTTTGTACAGGGCAAACTAATGTTGAAAGTAATAGTAACCACTGAGTATTCTTCAGATAAAACCTGGGCTACAGCACTCAACCTTCATTTAGCTTCCAATACTGCAGCTATTACATTTCAGCTCACAACTTATCAATGCTGTCCTTTCTTTGTGTTTTAAAATATCCTTTTACGTAGGCTTTACTTGCTGATCTTTAATTCTCTGCTGCTTAAAATTTGACTCTGTTTTCTGTGTTTCCACCTTTTAGATTTTAAGAAAAAATCCAGCACAATTTGAAATTGTTCATGCTTTTTACAGGAACCTTTGTAAACAGCAACTCTGGTAATTTCATCCAAAATATTCAGACTTCCTTTGCAAATTGTCTCAATGTAAGGTGCATTTTGATAGTTATTTTGTGTTCTGTTATTTACTATTTCAGAGATGTAACTTGTATTTCATATTTAGCTTGTGGATGATTCAATTCATCTATATGATTTGTAACACTTGAACATTCACAGGTTTGTTCCTTCTAGCAGTTTTTTGAAAGAGTACACTCATGAAGCTTCCTGATTTCAAATGTCTAGGCCATCCCATTGGTACCTGGATTCAGCACATTAGTCTTGATGTGGCTTGTACCACGAGGGCAATTTGGTAGAGAACAAGGAATACCCAGTTGAGTGCCTGTAACACCTTAATGAACAGTAATAGGACTGATCAACAAAATAAAGCAGGTGACAATTACATCTTGCTGGAAGGTTTGACAACCAAAAGCAGCTTGTTTCAATGCTTTTCATCTTTGACTAGCTACAAAGATATGTACGTGCTATCTTAGATTCCTTTTAACAATTCTGAACAGTTTTAATAAATTCAAGTAATTTGTTGTGAGTACCATTAATTCCTGACTTTTTTAAACCAGCAAAGGATATTTTAAATGGTATTGTTTTATTGCTGTTGGCAACACTTTTCGATGATATGATTACTTCTAGTGACACAGTTTTTGAAATGTATTCTGTGAATTGCTTCAGTGTATAGTCATAGGATGGTGCAAACTCTTCACAAGTATATTGGAGGCTGAAATTCTGAATTTTGTTGGTTTAAGTCTTTTATGCCTCTTTTGCCTGGGGTGGGTTTATAAAAATAGCAGAAACCACCATACACAGTAACTGCTTTCAGTTTACATTTGTTTGGGTCACAGAGCCTCATGAATAAAGGATTTTCTTTGGAGGTTTATAAACAAGACGCCAAAATATTATTTCTTTTATCTCTGAGTTAACAAATGATAGTCCGCAAAACATTTTCACCTTTGACTGCAAATGGAAGTTTTTTGAAGCATAGCTATATTTGAAGGAACAAGTAAAATAGTGTCAAATTTGAGGCTGCTTCATGCCACACGGACAACTATGCTTTAAGGCGGCATCTGCCACCCCTTCAAAATGAATAACGTCTTAACTGTTTACAACTTTTTTGCTGATTTAAGTGAATAATAAATGTGTGCCTGGTAACATCGCACTCTGTTTTGTGTGTGTGAGAGAGTCTAATTTAAACAATACAATTTTTTTTCTTGAATCCACAGCTTCTATATTAGATAAAGCAAACGTTTTGGACAGGGATGACAAGGAGATGTTGATGGTTGTTTGCAGACTAAAGTCTACAAAAAAAAATCACTGTGAATGATCTCTAATGATTACAATTCTTGATAGTTTTCATAAGAGTGCACATAATTTTATGACAAATCCAATAAAAAGAAATGGCAGCCAAACTTTGCAAGTTAGCGGCAAAGCAAATGGGGCAGGCTTTGCATTTTGAACACAAATTTTATGAACTGTGATTGAATTTGTCGTGAAAGTGTGTCAGAATTAATAACGTATTTACACACAAGGTTGTCGGGCTTTGCAGCATGTTTTAGGGCTGAAGACTGGATCATAGGAAAAGCCTCTTCTCTGTGTTTTGTATCAGATCATACGGGCCAAATGAACTCTCCTTACATTATAGACTCTGGTGGTATTCTTGATATTCAGTCACTTTTTTTTGTCAAAACATCCAGC